CTGACATTTTTTACGATATTCCTGGCTACTTGTACAGGATTACTTGCAAAATTTACAAGCAGACTGTAGTTTTATAGCATAATTGTAATTGTTAATTTACAGTGCACTTATAAATTTACAGTATTACTGGCACCTTTTACAGTATTACTGGCTAAATTTAGAAGCGCACTGTAATTATACAGCACACAGTGCACTTTTGAATTTTAAAGTATTAATTGCCATTTTTACAGTATTCCTGGCAACTTTTACAGTATTACTGGCAAAATTTACAATCACATTGTAGTCTTACAGCACAATTAAAATTGTTACCGTCTACTTGTAAATTTTACAGTATTATTGGCAACTTTTACAATATCACTGGCAAAATTTACAAGCACACTGCAGTTTTACAGCACAATTAAAATTGTTACCGTCTACTTGTAAATTTTACAGTATTATTGGCAACTTTTACAATATCACTGGCAAAATTTTTCAAGCGCACCGTAGTTTTACACCATAATTATTTGTTAATTTACAGTGCACTTATAAATTTTGCAGTATTACTGGCAATTTTTACAGTATACACTGGCAACCAAAATTTCACTGCAGAGTTTTTACAGTATTATCTCTTAATCATTAATTGTATCATTGTTGAATACTTTGACCTGCTTGGTCTCTGTTTTGAAACTTTATTTACATTAAACCATTTTTTTAAATCAAGAAATGATGTGGAAAAAGAAACTAATAATCTCCACGAAAGATGATCCGAGACAAAACGCTTATTTCAAAAACATACTGTCACGGACTGAACAAAAGGAATGCTCTCAGCACATAATTCATGTTAGCACACGTAACTATATGAGGCTGAATATTAATAATAATATCCTGGAAAAAGAGTGCGCTGTCTGAATATGTTTCCAGATGATTACTTGTTTGATGTTTGGCCTCTCTTACGGTCCAGCCACAGCATTGACTTACAGATGGGCTATTTTTAAAAACAGAAGCGATTCAATGACAAATCCAGGCAGAGGGTCAAAGAATCACTAGCACTCAAAAAAATGAGTTTTGCTGAAAAATACTTTTGCAATTAATTTCCCCCCCAAAAATCTGTGTTGTTTCAACCCATTTTAAATAAGTAGTTTGAATTGAGCTGAAATAATGCAATCCTTAAGGGTTTTGGGGATTTCATGTTCATTCCACTTAAATTTGTAAAAAGGATTAAGTTAACTTAATCAATTTGTGTTGTGACAACATGAAGCTGTTGTGTGGAACCCAGTTTTTTACAGTGTGTAAAAGTAATTATTAATTTATTTCACTGCCAGTGAGGTTTAAAAAACATTTTACTTTTAGGGGGAAAACTCCTTTTGACTTTTTTTTCTGAAAACAAGACAATAATTTTACTTGACGTTTTTAAAATGTTTAGATATTTGGACTAGAAACAAGACAAACCCCTTTTTAAAGAAATGTCTGACAATATATGGTATAATAAACTTGTTTTTAGATTATTTTGTTAAACAAAAATAAAGGAAATTAAAAAAGAAAATAATTTTGTGCAGTGTTCTTAAACTGGTGGTATAGTTTATTGATTTAGATGCCACTCTGTTCCCAAAGTGCATTTTATTATGCTTTTACTGATTTTATCAAGTACACTGTAAATTAATAATTAGAATTTACTGTCAAATTTACAGTAACTTACTGGTAATTTTTTGTTGCCAGAAAGATTGTCATTTTATAAGCACATTTTAAATAAATAATTACATTTTACTGTAAAATTTATAGTAACTCGCTGGCAATTTTGGTTAAAAATAAGACTAAATTTACCAGCAAAATGTAAATGAACAATTACATTTTACTGTAAAATGCACAGTAACATACTGTCATTTTTTGCCAGTAAGACTGTAAATTTAACAGGACACTATAAATTTAAAATTACATTTTACTTTAAAATTCACAGTAAATTACTGGCAATTTTGGTTGACAGTAAGACTGTACATTGTAAATTAATAATTAAATTTTACTGTAAAATTTACAGTAACTTACTGGCAATTTTGTTTGACAGTAAGACTAAATTTATGACCACAATGTAAATAAACAATTACATTTTACAGTAAAATTCACAGTAACTCACTGGCATTTTTGGTTGCCATTAGTAAGACCAAATTTACAAGCACACTGTAAATTAAAAAATACATTTTACTATAACTTCACAGTAATTTACTAGCAATTTTGGTTACCAGTAAGACTGTAAATCTGCAAGCATAATGTAAATTAATATTCATAATTTACTATAAAATTTACAGTAACTTACTTTCAATTATGGAAGCAGGTAAGACTGTAAATGAATAAATTATTAATTATAATTTACTGTTAAATTTACATTAACATTAAGACTGTATATTTACAAGCACGTTGTAAATTATTAGTTACAATAGTAATGTAATAAAAGACATAAAATTGTAATTATTTATTGTATGCTTGTAAATTTACAGTCTTTACTGGCAACCGAAAATGCTGGTAAGTTACTGTAAATTTTACAATTAACACGTTAAAGTTATTATATGCCAAAAGAAAGCTCAAAATCTAAACAGCTTGAAGCAATTAATGCCGGAATGTTTATTTTTACAAGTCAAGCGTTTTTTGTTTTGGATGAATGGATGTCAATTATTGCAGGAGATTTCTAAAGCAATATAGATTCTTCAAAACGGTAAACTTCTAAATGAAAAAAACATGATTGGTTATCCAATAAACGCTCGGTTTACAGCAAAGCGGTCATTATTACACCTAAGAATGTGAAATCTAATACTCTTTGGCATTCAGTGCTGTTTACGGTCCGTGATAAACAGCTATTTCTCTCCATCTCTCCCCAGTGTCTCGCTGTGACTCATTCATTGCTTGTGATTCATTAGTCTCTCTTTACATTCCCATGCACGTACATTTAAAGAAGCTTAGGGAATTAAAACAGAATCGGAAGAGCAAACGCACTTATATATTTGTAAATTCCAGGTGTGTCTTGGTTGGACTTTTTGAGTATGGAAAAATGAAACAAATCAAATACCTTTTCTCTTATTTTATTATTTACTTTATTCTGTTGGGTATGAAAGAATCATTTTGATGAAACTCTAAAACAAAGTGCGTCTTCTGATGAACAAATGGAATTAGTAAGTATTTGTGTTATTATGAATAATGAATCTCCAGGCACCAGTGAAAAGCTTTACCAAACCAGATATCTGGAGGCTTGTTTTCTTGTTTTTCCCAACTTTCTCCAGTTCTTGTTTGTTTCTCTCTCTCTTAGTGACTGATTCACACACTGTCTAACTTTGTTTCTGCTTATACGTACATATTCCTCTTGAATATACAGAAAGTTCTGAAAGTCCTATATTGCTTTTAAGACAAATGTTTAGACTCTGATTGGCTGAGAGACTGTGTGATGTTCTACTAGAATCACCATGAGAACCGCTTGTATCAGTCTGCCTTTAGCATTGCTTGCAGCGAGTGTAATGGCAGAGGTCCAAACACATTACAAATGTACATACACTATTCATTTGTGTCACGAATTGTAGTGTGAAGATTTTGTAAACAAGAACGTAGTTGTTTAGACATCAAACCAACGCAATCACAAGACAATTTGTAAGTTTTTGATTTAGTAGGTAAATCTTACTAATTTATATAATCTCTTTTGTAATGTACATTTTTTAAGAATGATTTTTTCATCCTCCAATGATTAATTTTGTGTTTATTGGTGGTTACATTTTCAATTAAATAGAATGACTTTGTACGAATTAGCCACTTTTTTTTACTATTAATAAAGTCATTTGATGCAAATACTGTTGTGTTTTTAAACTATACTTGATCTAAGTACTTGAATTATTCTGTTGTGGTTATTCTGTAGTTGGCGGTTCGTTTCAATGTGGTGAAGGAAATTCGAAGGAAAATGAATGGTTACTCTGTAGTTGTCGTGTTAATACAACCACCATAATAATATAAATTACCCAATACTCTCACCCAAAATAGTTTTCTTTTAGAGTTGAAGTCAGAATTACTAGCCACCGTTTATTTTTTCCCCAATTTCTGTTTAATGGAGAGAATATTTTTCAACATGTAGTTACATAGTGTACTAGGATGATGATATTACGCAGCACCTAAAAACAGTCCCAAGTCAGGTAACTATGCTTAAGTCTGGCATAATATCATTGCTCCTACTGCAGCCATGGTACAGCAGCAAAGTTCCTTGATTATTATGCTGGAATGAGAATAAAGTTCCTAACCATGTGGGTCTAGAAAATAGCAACTTTTACTTTTGCGTTGATCTTAGTACACAATGCATCTACGGAAGAGTAAAGCCTTTGATAGAAACATTACCAAAAATTGATGGTGGAGATGCTAATGGTCTAATCTGATTCACTGATTTATGCTAAGCTAAGCTAAAAGTGCTCCCACCAGACCCGGAGATTGTCTGAATGGATTCAAAAATGATAAAACTAAACTGTTTTACTTTAGGTGACTTGTAAAATGAGTTACAAGTCCTAAAACAATTCCTAAAAAAGTGGCAATTCAGGCTCATTCTGAAAACGTACCCCTATATACATTTCTGAAGAGGGTCCAAATACATTCAGGAGCATGTGAGTACCATTCGTGCATTTTGTTGTTATGTAAATCCACCAGAGGGTGCTGTCAACTGACTGACTGACCGAACGACTGACCCACCCTCCTCCTTCCCTAAACCCAACCGATAGTGTTTTCAAAAGCACCCATTGACCCGCCCACCCTCTTCTCTAAACCCAACCGACAGTGTTTTCAAAAGCACCCATTGACCCACCCACCCTCTTCTCTAAACCCAACCGACAGTGTTTTCAAAAGCAATCCAGAAAAAGTAAAGTCCTCGCCTGATTTTTACCACGTTTTCAGATTCTACCACATTCTCACCCAGTTATTTACTTGTTTACTTTATTTTTTGTCTTCTGTTTTTGTCTTACCTGCTTTCTGGAATCCTTCTTTGCTGGACTCAAACTCCGTCGTCGCAGTCAACTCCACTCCACGTCTCAAGTCCGCCGACATACATGGCGAGCCACTGGACAAACTGGTAACAGCGGGAAAGCCATCCATACGGAGGTAAGCCAGCTGGTTGCACAAAAAGGAACAGCATCATACCGCTCCGTAGCAGTTGTTTTAAAGACAAAATGCAACCATTTGTACCTCTGGCTACATAATTCAAGATCTCCAGAAATGTATATTGGGCTACGTTTTTAGAACGAACGTATATTGAAAAGTGGAGTGTTCCTTTAAGAAGCACAGACTGACCTAGACTGCAAACCCAACCCAGTAAGCCCATGCTTCTATGAAGGACCAACAATCTCTGTTGAATTCAGATGAGTTACGAGACAATCGCTCATCATCTCACTGTTATTCAGCATCCCGCATTGAAGATGTAACTCCACTCATGATTAATAACTCTAGACATGCTTTTCATATCTCTGGAGTCTTCAAAAAGAGCACAGAGCCTTCGGAAAGATCAAATCCATCGAGAAATACAATGTGCCAGAGATAAGAACTAATAGTGTTTTGGTCACAGCACGGTCACAACCTTTTCCAGATGTGTAAGAGGGATTTCAATGTGCGCTGTTGTTCAAATGTGCTAAAATAATGTTTTATCCCAGTGCTTAGATGAGTGTAAATGCGTGTTTCCCAGTACTGGGTTGCAGCTGGATGAGCATCCGATGCGTAAAATGATATGCTGGAACAGTTGGCAGTTCATTCCACCGTGGCTACCACTGAAATAGAGACTAACCCTGAAGGAAAATGAACGAATGATTGGAAAATGCTTAAAATGTACCCACTATTCTGGAGTGAGTCTTAAATCTGCAGTGTTTGCAGATGCGAATCAGAATGGTAATGGCATTTGGTGTTGTGCTGTAGGATGTACAATATATTAAGCTTTCATTTCGCATTGATTCCTTTGTCGGAAAGCAAAGGGTTTGTGAACGGTTTGTACAAAATATTTCAATCTTCTGGAATGAATCTTCTTGTCGTTTTTTAGATCCAGACTGCTGGCAGCCCAGTTCAAAGAAATATGTAACGTGTTAAACTTGGCAAAACGAAGTACAGAGGAATTAAGCCGCGGCTGCCTTTATGGAAATGTAATCCATGTGAATGTGGACTCTGCTTTTGTTAAAGAAGATTAAAGTAGGAATTCATCCAGGTCAAGCAGGAAGAAACACAGTCCAGGCAATGGCAGCCTGCGTGGACGCTATACCTCAGAACTCGACTTCTCACACATAAAGTCCATTAATGAGTCAGCAGAGAGGTTCATTATCCGCTTGTTAAGTGGTGATGTGTTTGTGACGTGTGTAATACTGTTTCCGGGTCCAAGCCGCCATTCTTTTGAGTGGAGAAATCATTCGTTTATGGTCGCGTTTTATTCCTATCACACATTAAAGTTAATTTTACATTCATAGTGTACACAACAATCTCTGGGCTTGCTGCATAACAAATACCAAAATTTTAACAATTTATAAAACAATGAATCACTTTCTGGCCATCGGATATTAGGCATGGACATATATATTGCGATTGTGACTTTCGAAAGTATTAAATCCCTTTGTAAACGTTTATTATTATCATTTCATGAATCTCCCCATTCAGTTAAATAGAGCGCTTGGACCCGGAAGCCGCTCCGAGTGACGTCACACTTAACAAGCGGATTGCCTGCTGAGGTCTTACAGATGCATCTAAAACACTGAGACAATCATTGAAGAAATTCAGTATGCCAAGATCAGCGGACAGCTTTTGTGGCATCTATTTAATAGGGTATTAAACAGACTTTAATAATCAGTCGATGAACTGTCACGCCATTACAAAATCAGTGCGTTTAAGATCTAGGGCCCTATCATACACCCGGTGCAATGTGGCGCAAGGCGCAGCACAATAGTCTTTTGGTAGTTTCAGCTTGGCGCAAGAGTTGTTTTGAGGCGTTGCGCTACGCTGTTTAAATAGCAAATGCATTAGTGCTCATATGTGCGTCCATAGGCGTTCTGGTCTAAAAAGAAAGGTGTTCTGAGGCGCATTGCTGGCGCGTTGCTGTTTTGAGAAACTAAAATAGATTTTTCATTAGACCAAAACGAACCCGGTCTAAACTCCGGTGCAGAGTTGCGCCTCGCTTACACACTGCTTAATACGCACAAGAGAGCAATAGGCAAATATCTTTATATATGAAAAAAAATAAATATTAAGGATATATATATATGTAGGATATAATAAGAATAGATATAGGATATAAATATAAAGGATTAAAATATTACAAAATATATTATTTTCTAGCCTACATAAATATGAAAAATCACTGCTTTTATGTCTTCTTCATCTCGAGAGGCTTTTTCATTTCATTCATAACAATTTGCTTTTGTATAATGTTATTATTATTAGCAGTATTATTTATTATATCCATATTTATATTTGTTTTATTAAAAACAAGCTTAGATTTGCCCACCTGTCAAGTTTTAGACCATATGGGGCCCAGCATGTGTATTAGGATATAACATCCACACTCACATTCACACACACACACTACGGACAATTTAGCCTACCCAATTCACCTGTACCACATGTCCTTGGACTGTGGGGGAAACCAGAGCACCCAGAGGAAACCCACGCAAAGGCAGGGAGAACATGCAAACTTCACACAGAAATGCCAACTGAGCCAAGGTTCGAACCAGCGATCCAGCAACCTTCTTGCTGTGAGGCGACAGCACTACCTACTGCGCCACTGCCTCGCCTATATTGTATTGTATTAAAATGTGTATATATACAGCATATAATGTAGGTGAAAAAAAGTTTGTGTACTTCTTTCTTTTTTCAATTTGTTTTAAATTAAATACGAGCTCCTGGCACATTTTTGATAATTGATGAAATGAACTCTGACTTTTCATTTGTATCCAAAGTTCTACAGGGAGTTTCGTCTAATTAAATAGAAATTATATTACCTTATCCTAAAAGCTGACGATAATAAACACTAGAGGTTCTGTAATGCCAATTTATGGAGAAGATTTCCCAAATGACAAAATCAGATCCTTCACAACCTGAAATCCCTACAGCAGTAATCTGAAATACAGCACAAGCTTCAGCCGCTGCGGAAAAACAAGAAAAAGCAGGACTTCTCCTTTAAATCTTAATCTGAGGGTTGACACGGTGGCTCAGTGGTTAGGCCTGTCACCTCACAGCAAGAAGGGCACTGGTTTAAGTCCCTGCTGGATCAGTTGGCATTTCTGTGTGGAGTGTGCATGTTCTCCCTGTGTTGGCGTGGGTTCCCTCCAAGTGCTCCTGTTTTCCCCACAGTCCAAAAACATGCACTGTAGGTGAATTGAATAAATAAATTGGTTGTAGTGTATGTGTGTGAATGAGTGTGTATGGGTGTTTCCCGGTACTGGGTTGCAGCTGAAAGGGCATCTGCTGTGTAAAACGTATGCTGGATAAGTTGACGGTTCGTTCAGCTGTGTTGACCTCTGATGAATAAAGGGACTAATCAGAAGGAAAATGAAAATGAAGGAACAATGAAACATTTTTTGAACAATCTTTCGATTTGGTTATTATTTCTGTGTGAAGTTTTTCCTAGTGCTGGGTTGCAGCTGGAAGGGTATACGCTAAGTAAAACATGCCAAAGTAGTTTGCGGTCCACGCCGCTATGGCGAACCCTGATAAATCCAAAGTAAAATGAATGAATGAATAATCTGAAGTTTAAGAGCAAATATATTATAATTGTCTGACCTCCTGTTGACCATCACAGACCACCTGTGGTCACGGGCCTAACTGCTAGAAAGAGAGGTCAAACCATTATAGCTTCATTTATTTGTGTTATTATGTAATGCCACAGGGGGCTGAATCTCCAAAGAGGACTTCCACCATCACTAAACACTTTCTCACACTTACCCTTCCAGATGTTTTCTGCTCTCGTGAAGACAGCTGGAAACCTTTCATCCATCCCCGCACAGTATTTGCTCTGTGTGTTATTTGAAAAGCAAAAACTGCTCTATTCACAGTCTCATTTTTCCATCGCAATTTGTGATGTATAAAACACTGCAATGCTTAAAAAGCTTTTTTACAAACATTTTTAAAGGTCCCAGAAAATTAAAATGAAGTTCTTTAGATGTAAGCATCAGTATTGTTAGTTTTTAAGGTATCTACAAGCTAGTGTGCTCCAAAACAATGATGAAATTTGCGTTTAGAACAGGGGTCGGGAACCTTTTTTCAGCAAAAAGCCATTTCTGTTTTTTTTTTTTTTTTTGTTTTTTTTAGCAAATGCATTTTTGTAAAGACCCATTTGGATGTAAAATTGAAGTCAGAATTATCAGTACCGGGCCGCACAAGAATGAATTATCTTTAAGTTGGCAGATAAAGTAGCTGCATTTAAAGCCAAACTGAGGTATATATATCGTACTCGCACTAGGTACAGTTGCCTCGAACCGGGCCAAAGCACGATTGTCCCCCCTCCCGTCTCTCCCGACGGCCCGCACTCACACCACAAATGGACCTCGGCACGCTTACGTCATCGCTGCTGCGCTGTTCAGTGAGAAGCGCTCTCTCACTCAGCAGCACAGTGGAGATTTCTCTAGTTATATCGTTTCAGTCGTTTGTTATGCAGTGACATGCAGTCAAATATTTTGCCAAACAGTCCTTAGGGATGCGGTGACACGCAGTCAGATATTTCACCGAACAGATCCGCCACTTTTGGTGCTCATAAACAATCATAAAGCCCTCGGGCTGCAGGAATGAGGAGGTCTGCTGAAGCCGTGCAGTAGACGTGCTGTGAGGAGTTCTCGTCTTTAATAAACTACGTCAGTTTGCGCTCACTGAACAGTAAGAATTAGTAATAAATCCATATGAAACAGCCCCTTAAAAGTCACGTCTCGCTTTCAGTTTTGGGCTTTGACGCATTTTGCACTCACACACAAGCGTACCGCGCCAAAGCCCAATTGAATCGCGCTCAGGCACACCTCTTCCAACTGGGCCAGGGCCGGCCAAGTGAACCGTGCTTGAGCCCGATTCAGCGCACTCACACTTCTCAAACGATCCGGGAAACAGGCCTGGCCACGGTACGGATGGCATAG